CGGCTATTGGTGATTTCTTCTTCAGGTTTGGTATTCCATATGAACTGCATTCAGATCAAGGCCGTAACTTTGAATTAGCTGAGTTCCATCAATGCTGCAAGTTATTTTTCACACGAAAGACTAGGACAACGCCACTTCATCCACAGTCTGATGGGATGGTAGAAAAGTACACTTGGATAGGAATTGGCAAAGTTTTGTAATAGCTGCCAAGATGACTATGATGTCCTACTCACTCCACTGTTGATGGCCTATAGAACAGCAGAGCATGAAGCCATTGGATACACTCCAACAAAGCTGATGTTTGGTCGGGAACTTCGGTTGCCAGTGGATCTGATAACAGGACGCCCACCTTATGAAGAGGTGCCTGAAAATGTGTCAGAGTTCGTGAAAGTGTTATCTGAAATGATGGATGATATTCACCATCAAGTGCGTTCAAACTTGAAAACGTCTGCTGATTCCATGAAGCTATGTTATGATAAGAGATCTACTGAAGTCAGCTTTGTACCAGGAGACAAGGTGTGGTTGTATAATCCCAGGAAGACCAAAGGGAAGTTTCCAAGTTGTCTTCTCCAAGGGAAGGCCCATATGACATAGTGGATCGTCTCTCAGACGTGACTTTCCGAATAAAATGTGGTCGGCGAGGTAAACCAAAGGTGGTGCATGCCAACAGGCTTTGGCGTTATCATGGTCCAGGACATTTCAGTTGGAACGAAATGAACAATGGAACAAATGACGCTGCTGAAGATGTGTCACCTGAAAAAGTCACTGTTGAGAAAGAAACTCAACCCGGTTTTGAGAAGGAAAACAGTGAAGCCGTTAATGAAGTTGCTATCACTGATGTGACTGTTACCGATAATAGGACATTTCCTGATGGAGGAGATGAACCCCACGTGAAGCAGAAGCCAACGAGACAGAGGCCAGTACGGAAGAAGATACGTCCTGTAAAATTAGGAGACTTTGTTGTATTTTAATTTTGTGTATGTAAATTCTGTACATTTAATCAAGTTATTGTTAATTTTCTATTGGGTTAATGTAAATGGCTATTGTTCGGGACTAACAATACTAAGGAAGGGGCAGTGTTACGACAGCGGAAGTCATGAGTTTTTAGAAGGATCATGACTGTTTCTGGCAACTCTAGTGTTTGTCAGACGCCCTCTATTTTAGTATATAAGTCCGACAAATAAAGCGGAGAGAGATATAATTGCAGATAGCAGATTGAAGAGAGATATAGAGACAGATAATTGAGTCAAGTGAGCGGTAGTAACCGTAAGTAAAGTGCGTGAATCGTTGTGAATTATAGCGTTTGTCTGAGTTGAAGTGATTGTGGAAATTCTGTGTATTGCAAAGTTTTATTTAAAGAAAGGACTTGTATCGCTGAAGTTCCTCGGGGAGAATTTATACCGGAAATTAACAAACGACCAGAGACGTAACAATACTTTTAAATAACTACACGGATTTTGCCTACGAGACTGCCGGGGGTTACAAAATCAAATGTGTTAAAAGTAACACAATTCAATATATTCCTTTTGTTAAACAACAATTGTTAAATTATACAATAGGCTTAATGCTAATGTACTATGACAAGTATAAGGTATAATTAAGTATATTAGGAGAAACCGTGAAAACACAATGCACTTGTTTTTTTTTTAACTTTTATGTCGTATATTTCTTAGTTGATAACAATAATTCTCTGCTTTATTTCTATAAACTTTAGGCTTTGCAAGTATGTATCACGCACGATTGAGTAAATCTTACCAGCCCTCGCAATAAAGGGGGATTTTTATTTTCAGAATAAACTTATGTCATGGCTGTTAACATTTATAGTTTAGTGTTTGGGAAACTTTTAGTAAAAGTCAGAGGGATATACACGTGAAAAGCTATTTGATTTCACCCGCAGGTGCCTACGCATGGACGAAATGTTTACAAAAGCATCAAACGGGTTCCGAGAAATTCGGGCAGTTGGAGTTCATGTTAAAAACGGCTTTCGGATTTGTACCAATGGAGTATCTCAAGATGTGAACAGCAGTCATTTTAAGACAAGATATCATCCCCCTTTTTTACCAGAAAGTGAAAGTAAACTACAGCCAATAGAAGTTGGGAAAAAATCAGCTGCATGGAAAGCAGTAGATCATCATGTGATGGTAAGTTCGATATCAGACATTTAGTTTAGAAATTAGAGCGAAACATACCCAGCCCCAAAAATATAGATTAATAAAAAAACTTACCAAAGGCAAGATTATAGAAGTTAGAACTAAAAGTAACAGATAGACATTTGGTCCACCAAGGCCCGTTATTTAAAACTTATGTTAAATAATAATAGCTCTAAACTTCTTTTTTAAAAAAAAAACAATGTTGGCCATTCAAAGCTTTTTTAATGGGCTGACTTATCATCCCAAATAGTATTACTATTAGTAATAGTAGTAACATGAGGCTCATCATATATGTTTATCCAAATTTCAAAAACTGTAAATATTAAATTCAAAATAAATAATGTGAAGTGCATAAACCACAACATCAGTAAACCATTCCACAATATTGTAACTAATTAAAAACAGAAACAAAAAAATATTCTGTTGAATAACAAGTCAATACCTAGGTTTCTAAACTTTAATTTTATTAGTGTATCACCTCTTTTATTTCCAGTCTTTTCATTCCATGACTATAACAGAAAATCCATAGTAATGATCTCTGTTAGCTTGTATATACACTTATTTTCAACATGTTGGTATTCTTACTGTAAGAAATGGACCAAAAGACAAAGTTGTACACAGTACAGAAACCCCTATAATTGAAGCCAACAATTCTGTTTCCTTATTTCACCAGAGCTAATCATGTATCAGTGCACTTTGGGGTTTTTTCAACCTCTCACTGCAAATGAATAATGTACACTTCCTTTGTCAAGGCCTAGAGCTTCATTCTCAAGTTCCTCATCATTTTCTGAACAGCTTCTACTTCATCATAAATAAAATTGAAGTAAAATCCCTCCTGCACTTAATGAATGGTGGTTTTTTTTCTTTAGCATCCTCCATTTTAGAAAAAAAAATTGTTTTTTAGAAGTTAATATTTGGATAAACTAGTATAGAATTCCAGGTATACTATATTTAAATGTCTATGTTAATAAATTATTGTTTTCCCACAAAGCATATTTTGGTATACTTGTAAGAAGGAAAAGGTCAAGATAGAAATATATATTGTTGTATATCTAAATCATTGCTGCTCGTTTTGCACTAGCTGAATCAGTATACTTTCTAAACCCATTTCTTAGGATAACTTTATTGTAGGAGTTGGAAGTGGATCAACTGCTGTTTATGCAATGGAAAGATTGGGTAAATACTTTTAAGTTTTTGATGACTGATTGGAAACATAGTAAAACTAATAATTTGCTAGTTCTAAGCTTTCAGCACCAGTTTTGTATTTTGTGTTTCTTCTATTGAAATGATTAATATTTATGTGTTTGTTGAAATTAAATTTTTGGTTGGTTTATATCATTGTTGAAAAAGGTAGCTTTGTAATAAGTAGGAACTTTGAGAGGTACAATTAGCAGTTTATGGAAAAAATTATTTTGAAGATTTTTGAATCCTGTTTTATATTTAGTTTGGTGAAAAGTAATAGTATCACCTCTTACCCTTTGTTTCTCAAGAGAAAATAAGAGGTCTAACCTGTACCCATAAAATAAATAACCCTTCCATCCATGGAATCATCATAGTAACTCTTCTCTGAACCCTTTCCAATAAGACAATATCCTTTTTTTAGATAAGGAAACCAAAACTGTGCAGAGCATTTCAAGAGAGTTCAACTAGATATTTGTATATAAATAATTCTCTCTTTTGACTTCATTATTTCTCTTTATACACTCTAAAATTCCATTAGGTTTACTACTGAAAACAGAGAACTGCCTCAATGACTCATCAACCATTATTGCCAAGAACCTTTTCTTCAGTCACTGTACTAATTATGTCCCTCTCAAAATTATTAATGTAAATAAGAAAAGGCAAAGACCAAAGCACTGACCCATGAAGCTTTCTACCAGTAAAAAGTTTCCAGTTTGACTGGACTGTTAATAACAACCTTTAGCTTTTTCTCATCCAACTGCTCTACAATTAAGTTAACTAGTCTCTCTCCAACTCTTGCTGATCTGACTTTTCTTATCTTCTGTGTGGCACAAAATCAAAAGTTTTATGAAATTGTTAGTATACTGAACCCACACCCTTTCTATTAACCAAATAAAAAGTAATATATGTGAAAAATACTTAAAAGATTACTAAGTCAAGATTTCCCTTCAATGAATTGTTATTGGTTTGATTTTCTTTTATATCATATTTCACTGAATAATTCTGCAAAGCTTCTTTTATTAGACCATAGAATTTATCTCTTTAAAGTAGTAAGACTAACTGGCTTATAATTTCTAGTAGTAAACCTCACAACCTCCCTTTAAAAATAGCAGTAACATTGATAATTTTACAATCTTAAAACACTTGCACACTGTCTACTTACTTACCAAAACTGAAAAAAAGGCCACCTTTCCTATCTTTGACCTCCTTTAAAAGCCTTGGGGAAAATGTACTTATATTTTAAAATTTTATTATACAATATAGAAAACTCAATATTATCATAAATTGTAATAAATAGATCATTATTATAGGAAGTATGTTTAGTTGTAATTAACATGAGCTCTCCCACCCCAACTCCTGACCTGGTGGCTTGGCATTAAATATGAAGGCTTATAATATTGAAAACCAGGTTTCAGTACCTATGGTGGGCACAGCACAGAAAGTCCATTTGGTATGTTTGTGCTTAATAAGAAACAGGAATTATGTGCTACATGTATTATAGTATACAAATAAGAAACAGAGGAAGAGTATTTTAAAATACAGTTATTACTTTGTGCTTGAATATGTTAGTGATTTTATAGATATTTGTCTCACCTAAGTTTTATATAATTATTTGAAACTGCCTTCATCACATGTGGATGCAGTAAAATTGTTAAGTGTTCAGTGGCAGTCTCCTTTATCTATAGCTTTGAGAGTTAAAGAAGAAGGACTAAAGATTTTGTGTGTTCCAACTTCATTTCAGGTAAATTTTATTTAAGCCACTTTTTTACCTATTTAAAAAGGTGTGTAGTTCTAAGCTTTGATAATTGTTTTAATCATTAGTGATTTGTTACATGAAAATAATACAGTACTGTATCCACATACAGTTTTATTTTTAGTGAATATGAAATAAAATATAAAACTACTAAAAAATTTTCAGAGACTGAAGAGAGTATCCACTATCATTATTTATCATAATTTGAGTGACTATGGATATGTTTTTGATGCACAACATGATTTTTATAGTGTATTATTTCAGTTTATCAATGGCCACATTAAATCATAGGAACTTATCTGATAATATCTGACTAGCACTCTTATCTATTGTATTTCAATAATCATATGAAAATATAGATATAAATTTGATAATACTTTACTGCTATATTACTTTATCATAATTTATTAGACACATGAGATTAGAGACATTCACTTGGCAGTCACTTATCAATATTTGTCTGTATTTCACTGACCTAAAAATTATAATATTTAGGTAATATCTGATAAATATTTATCAAGCATTTGTGTAGTTTTAGGTGTTTAACAGTAGCACTTTATATTTAGTCTAGACAGATAGTGAAACAGCTAGGCTTATCTCTGACTGATTTGGAAGAACATCCTCAGGTGAGTAAATATAAGCTTTCTTTAATTTTGAATAATTATAACTAACATTTGTTGTTAACTGTTTTGTACCATGCAAATTTGCATTTATAGTAACACAGGTCTTATAAATAGTCTAATGTTTAATAGTTTTTTTTATATATATGATTACATTTTGTGCAGTCTTTGAAAAATATTTTACTGTTATCTGTGAAACAAAAGTATAATTACAATCTATCTATTAGCTATTCTATTGATGTTTTACTGACCCTGTATTTATAATTTACCCTTGAAGATACTTGAAAGTGTGGCATCAAAACTTACAATGTTTTAGGCCCATCTAATCTTAACATCATCATTACAACCCTCAGTTCCTTCTAGCAAACAAATGAATTACAACATTAAAAATACAGCTTACAACACTATCCCTTTCTAGATTGAAGTCCCTTTAACAGTTGTAATAAAAAAAAATTACACTAAACTGTCCATTGACCAAGTAATTTTGATGGTTTTCTTTTCTAAGAACTATGTTCTACAGATGGAATGATGTCTTATCTCTTGTTGTCACTGACCATCCTCTTACTGAGAGAGTTCTTCATGGCTTGGTGGTCAAGTGAATCTACTGGTAGATCCATCCTTGATGATCCTCTAGAAGTAGTCTTGACAGGAACTCTGGGCTTCTTCACATTTTGAAGTTTTGCTGATATGTTCTTCTTGCAAGTTACCAAGTTGGCCACTCTCTCATTATTATACTTTCAAAGTGATCATGGAGGATGACCTTTGACTTGAATTGCCTATCCTCTGAACACCTATTTAACTTTGAAGTTGTCTTCTCTTGTTACAAGAACTGTTCACCTATACCATTGAAATCCAGTTTTATCAGCATTTAAATCATAACTGCCTTTTGTTTTATCATAAGCTGACTTAAATCTTCCCTGGGTAAAGTCATGTATGATATCTTGTTTTTTCACCTTCACAAGAGCTCCTCTAACCACCAATTCCTCAGGACATATTGGAGTATTTGGTTCCACTAGGATCCAGGTGCTAGATGAATAATTATTGCTAATAACTCCTGACATGAGTATTCTACTCTTTGGTGGTAACTATAACCTAATCGAACATCTATATCTATGTATAAAACCAGCTCCCAGTGTGTACTCCTCCTCAATGTCTGTCACCAACACATCTTGAGATACAGAAAAGCTTCATATAATAAGGGAAATTTCCAATGTTCATTTTTATGGAACTTTATTCTCATATGCTGTTTGCATCAATCCTTCTTCTTTCTTCATCTATTGAGGCAATTTCCCATCTTTCATTAACAAATCATATACAACAGTTGTAGCTGTAGAACCAGAGTAAATCAGCATACTACAAAGTTTTTTCCATCTATAAACTTATGGACTCATGGACAATTTTCCTCAACTAATTAACTTCTTTTCTCATTTGGAATAGATAAGATATTTCTACCTGAACTTTGCCTCATAAATCCAACTGCTTCCTGTTTTCTTGATGTTGAATTTGCTCTGTGTTATTTCTATGGTTTGGTTAAACTCTGTCTCTTTGGCTTAATAAAATCAGTTGATTTTTTTATTGTCTTAGCTGTAATGGCCAGGTTCCACACATCTATAGTAGTTACCTCTTTCTGGTAATTTTTAAAGGAGCTCTTATTCCATAGAGGCCTTTGCCTGCAGTTCACAGCAGTATGTCCCTTCAAGTTACTCTATAACATCTTTTGTCCTTGTTGTTTATTTCCTGTGTTCTGTTTAACTAGTTGCCTAACTAATACTTTCAGTTTTTCTACCTTATAGATAGGGGGAATTGATGGTTCAATACTACAGGATCTAATGTCCCCATAATTTCTAGATTGCACCATTAGTAGTTTATCTATGATTGTGATGGATTCAAGTTCCATTGCCAACTGCAGATCTTCCTTTGAAGACATGCAGCTACTTTGTTTCAGCCTGATTTTCATATCCTCTTCTACTATGGCATCTATATATGGCCTGTGCAAGGTATCCATAATTTCACAAAGAATGTTTGGATAAAATATTAGGGCAGACCTTTCCAATCTTCCACAAATTTGGCTAAAGCCTCTTAGTTTCCTTCATATCCTGTTCTGGAATTTTGCTCTTGATACTTCTTTCTGATGTGACACTATCAACCTGTTGGACAAGGCAACTACCAATGCTTGGGAGTTATTAGGGCTCTCAGGTATATGGTTACTTAATGTTGTCAAAGCTGATCCTTTAAAATGAACAGGAAGATGGATGGCTTGTCATGAATTTGATTCATGAAGCTGCACTTAGACTTTGCCATAATATTGGAAACTAAAGGAGATTTAAAGTGGTGTTTAAAGTTATTGGAAGATAAACTGCCTTTGGAAGGAATGTTTAAGTGTTGTAATAATAAGGTCAAAAGCAGAGACTTATGAACAAGGAATGATGAGTATAGCCATTGGAAATCATGAGCTTAGCTTAATATTGGGCAGATTACTTCTCTGTTAGAGTTAGAATTGTATGAAATATCTGATCTGTTGATATTGTGTGTTCTTGTAGTTTAAATTTTTTCAAATGTTTGTTGGGTATGAAAGGTTATATTATGACATTGCCACCATTCAGTAACAAATGCATGGTATAGTTTGACAAAGGGTAGTTACTTTTTGACAACTTCATTTTTAAGAAGTTAAGAGTTTATTATATTAAAATATTCTACATATAATGATTTTCAAGGTTCTAACAATTTTCAGAACTTGAATGTTGTTTCTGATAAATAGTTATGTTAATAATTTTATTACAGCTTAGCTTTCAATTTTATTGAAATCTGTACTTTTTGAAGTGTATTGTATATTAAAAAAAAAACGAAATTAAAACTCATGCTGAAAGTTTCCATAAATCAACTTAATTGACCCTATTATGATTAAGGTATCAAACGGATATACATGCCAACATGACTTGCGATATTTGGAAATGATTAACTTTAAATTAATTATTATAAAGTGCTAGACCTATATGGACCTCTATTAGTGCAAAAACTGTAGGTACATAATGTACCCGTATTAATAATCAAATACTTAATAATGAAATAAATTTTTATACTTCTAAAATTAAGTTATTTTCCTTATTTTCCACTATTAAAATTTCAAGTTTGTCTGTTTGACAGAACATCTCTTAGAAGAATTTTTAATATATTTTCAATTTTTTTTAAATGTTTGTGTACATTATTGTTCATTCCAGAATTACAGGCACAAATATACTTGGAAAAAGTATTTAACACGGTATTTTAATCTAGATACTTCACACAGTGTTAGTCTGAAAATATTTACTTTCAGGTAGATGTAGCCATTGATGGAGCTGATGAAGTGGACTACAACATGACCTTGATCAAAGGAGGAGGAGGTTGCCTCACTCAAGAAAAAATTGTTTCTTCTTGTTCCCAAAATTTTATTGTCATTGCTGATCATAGGTATCAATTTAAATATTTTAATTGTCTCATTCCAAGAGAAAATTCTCACTCTTTAATGTTTTTCACTGTTGCTTATTATGCATCAAGCTTGCTTAATTTATAGTTAGTAGAATGGTGTTACTTTGTCTTTGTTTCCAATATTACTGTCATAACCAAAGGTAGTACTGACATGTATCTTTATGTCACTTTTTTTTTCTATTTTGAGGTATTTCTTAAACTTTAACTTTTATTTCTGTAGTTTGAAACTATGTGATAGGACAGGTTTTATAAAAGAGTAAGAAGATTTCAGGAAACCCTTTGAATAACTGCATATACCTTGTTACTTAAATATAGGAAAGATTCCAAAGAACTTGGACAAAATTGGACAAAAGGGATTCCAATCGAAGTTATTCCGATGGCCTTTGTACCAGTTCAGAGACGACTTGAAAAGCTTGGTGGAACTCCTGTTCTTAGAATGGCTATAGCTAAAGCAGTAAGTATACAAATTAATCCAAAGACTGAAAAATTATAATAGAACATTAGAAATTAAAGTAGTTAGTGGGTATACCTACTAGGGTTTAACTATTATCTGTGTTGTAAAAGGATATGGGGTAAACTGAATTAAAAGCCAAAAAATCAGTAGTAGTATTGCCATGGTGTATATTTGTATTTTTATATTATTTTAGTTTTAACAATTGATACATTTGAAGGAAAACAAAGTTTGTAAATAAAAAAGTATAATTACACTTTTGATGAACAACATTATTTATATCAGAAGGGACACAGTTAAACGTTTTAGAATTCTACAGATCCTATCTCTTCAGTATCTAAAGCAAAAATGTAAAGAATTACATTAATCCTTAGTAAATTACTAAATTACACTGCTACATTATCTTTAATCTTTAGTAATTTACTTAGGATTGATGTAATTCTATATATTTTTGCTTTAGATACTGAAAATGGAATCTGTTGAATTTTAGTTTTATTTCCAAGATTCCAACATCATTCAGAGTTTTAAGATATTTTTTAAACAAAGTGATTAATTACTACAGCCATCTTTTATATCAGTATAAAAATTAGATTTATTATTTTTATAATGGCTACTATTTTTGAGAAGTTTTGTTCCAAAATATACCTCCTATAACACTACAGCTATTACCCAACTGCTATGGTTTCCTTCCTTTGCCCAACTAAGCCTTGGTCTGAATTTTTCTTGATTGCTCCAGTCTTTTATTCTCCTCTTAATTGCTCTTGGTGATATTTGTCATGTGACACTCTCCACCTACATCAATGTGCCCTCTATCCTGGTATATATAAGCACCTCATTCAGATAATATTATCACTTTTTCTCAACAAAGTGTTCACTAATGTGTTTCTCTGTACTACAACCATTGGAGATACTTTGAGCATTCTTTGTGTTACCTAATTGATTTTCATAAAAAATAAATTTCATTAGGCAAGCCGATATATGGTATGAAATCCCATTTTGGGATCAGCCACCTCTGGCTCCTTTTCTTCAGTTGGTCCATCGAGTGTGTGATGTTTTGAGTATTTCCCTAGGTTGCGTTTGAGCCTGTACCTTCCTTGATGGGTGAAAGGTCTGAAAGCAAATACTTAGTTCTCCCTCCATCCACTGCAGTTCATGCAGGAAGTTTTATTGCTCACTTATGTAAAAGGACAGCTATGCCTTGTCCACCATGGTTGTCAGAACTAAGTGATTTAGCCTACCACCTCCAGATGGATGCGTATTCAGACTCTCAAAGAATTTACCTGCTCCTGGAAATTCAGGGTTCTAGAATGGAGTCTGTAGTCAACCTGAATAGATCACAACTTTCTAGGATTCATCTCACCCTATATACGATCCTAATATATTTATTCTTCTTCCAACTTTGGTCTGATGACTCTCAGGATCACCAAGTCAATTTGATGACGAGTTGGGATCATTGTTAGCATGTACATTGATTCGATTGTCAGCTTATGCATTCATCCCTGTTGTAGTTGGTGTCCATACTTTCCTCGGTTCCTACAGAGGGTCATAGTTCAGCCCCTATTTGAGGGTCCCGATATCAGCCCCCTTGGTCCATTGGTACCAAGAATAGATTCTGTCCATGTCTATGAGGTTCTTCCGTGGTGACTGTTGTTTGCCTATGGGATCTGTGGGGGCTCATCTCTGATAATTTCTATATATGTGGTAAACCTTAACCACAGATCCATGGACACTGCAGGTCCTTGAGTTAGTATTAGTTTTCAGTTCACATATTCACCACCATTTTCCACCCAACCTGTAGTGTTTCCACCTCCCACAGATACTTGGATTTTAGAACTTCGTTCTAGGGGTATCAGTTTTGTTCGTCTAGGGGGCAGTGGAGAAAGTCATCCCAGTTCTTCCAGAGTTTTATTCCCATCTATTTGTTGTGCCCAATAATATAGGAGATTGGTATCCAGTCATTGTTCTTTCTCATCTTTATCAATTTCTGGACCTCCAAGGTTCACAATGGAGTCATTCCTCACTCTGCATTGACATTTTTTTACAAGGATTGTGGATGTCCAAGTTTTATGTTGCTGACTCTTTTCAGCACGTTTTTATAGCAGCAGCATCCCACCACTATCTTCATTTTGTGCACAAAAGTCAGATGCTGCAGTTCAGGGCTCTGCCCTTCAGACTAGCGTCGGCACCATACGTGTTCTGTCAATTCCTATGAGTTTTTCTTGTCACCTCTTTTCTATAGGCCTGTGCACACACCATTCTATGGATGACTGGTTACTACTGGCACCATCTTGTCAGTTGGAGGAACGTCACACTCAGATTCTACTTTCAGAAGCACCTAAGGCAGGCTTCATTATCAGAGCTGAGAAATCTATTCTCACTCCTACACAAGATATTGTCAGTCTGGGTATCTCTTTCAACACGTAACTCAGTCTGGCTCAGTTAAATCCCATCCGGCTCCAAGCTATGAAACAAGCAATCTAACTCTTATTCACACCTCCTTCTCTCACTGCAGGTTCTTTCTCTTTTGGGGATGTGGGCATCACTGGAATCCCTCATTCGTTTGGGACTTGTGCAGAAAAGATCCCTTTAATTGTCTTTATGTGACCAATGGATCATGAACAGTGATTCACTGGATTTCCCAATTTCCTTATTCAGGATCATTATCTTCAATCTCAAATGATGGTTAGATCAGAACAATACTCTGATATGTGTTCCTCTGCCACCACCTCATCCAGAGATCTGTCTCTTCAGGGATGGAGTGCATATCTCAATGATCAGGAATTCCAGGGTCTATGCATGAACAAGGAGGCTTCCCTACACAACGTTTTAGAATTTCTTGCTGTTCAAAGGGTGATGTCTTATGGACTGGGCATATTAACTCTCTCAACATGGGCTCAGTCAATTTGACAGACCACGTGACCTCTTTGTACTAGTTCAAAGTCTTTATAGATTTAATACTTCTAACTTTCAATATGGTGTGTATATCTTCACAAAATTTGGCAGATTTTCAGTAAACATTATAAGTCTTTCACATACAAAAATCATATTTTTAGTGAAGCATTTTTAATAAACTACCCC